CCAGACAGAAAATCAACAAGCAAACAGCAGTCTTAAATGATACACTAGATCAGATGGATTTAATTGATACCTTAAAGCATTTCACTCCAAAGCAGCAGAATATACATTCTTTTCAAGTGCACATGGAACATTTTCTAGGATCGACCACGTTAGGACACAAAACAAGTCTCAATAAATTTAAGAAAACTGAGATCATATCAAGTGTCTTCTCTGACCATAAATGGTATAAAACTAGAAACCAATCACACAAAATAATTAAAAACACACAAAGGCATGGAGGCTAAATAGCATGTTACTAAATAATGAATGGGTTAACGATGAGATCAAAGAAGAAATCAAAGGATACCTTGAAACAAATGAAAATGAAAATACAACAACTCAAAATCTATGGGACACAGCAAAAGCAGTCCTAAGAGGGAAATTCATAGCATTACAGGCCTACCTCAAGAAATAAGAAAAATCGCAAACAAAAATCTAACTTTACACTTAAAACAGCTAGGAAAAACAACAACAAAGCCCACAATGAGTTTAAAAAAAAAATGAAATAATAAAGATGAGAGCAGAAATAAATGAAATAGAGTCTAAAAAACAATAAAAAAGATCAATTAACCAAAGAGCTGATTCTTTGAAAAGATAAACAAACCTTTAACCAAACTCATCAAGAAAAAAAGAGAGAGAACCACCTCAAAATAAAATAAAATCAGAAATAAAAGAGAAGTAACAACTGGCACCAAAGAAATACAAAGGATTGTAAGAAAATATTACGGACAACTATATGCCAACAAATTGGACAATCTGGACAAAATGGATACATTCCTAGAAACAAAACTGAATCAGGAAGTATCAGAAAATCTGAATAGACAGATTGCAACTAATGAAATCGAAGCAGTAAAAAAAAAAAAAATTTTTTTTTAAATCCCACAAACAAAAGTCTTTGACTGGACGGCTTCACGGGTGAATTTCACCAAACACTCATTTGTTGACAGTAAGATAACAAAAATTAATAAACCATCATTTCTTTACCAATGGCTGAAATTACAGTAAGTAGCCCCAATAATACTGGTTTTCTCAAGCTGGTAGAAGTTTTAACTGGTAGGTTTAGGTGACTATTTAATAACAGATTAAAATGCATTCAATAAATGCAGTTTAGTGAATCAAATAAAAAAGTATGCTCATGAGGCAAAACATTAAAAGGCATTTCTGGAAAGGCCTGCGGTGCATTTTTGTGTAAAGGCTAAAACAGAAGACTGAATGCTGCACTGTTTTGTGAGCTGCATAAACAATATAATTTATTGCATCATAATAGTACAATTCGGTCTAGACTTCGCGCTGAAGTAAATGTAGAAAAGCAATCGAAATGTTGCCCTCAAATTATTTCCAGACTGTCTGCTTAGTCTAAGTAATCCTTGCGTGTAAATATAGATATAGATAGATACACATGTATATATATATATATATATATGTATATATATATATATATACACACAAAACATTTAGATATCTTTGTTAAAAATCGTATTTTAAGCCCTCTAAGCTTCAAGGGGAATCAGGCTGTTCTGTGCTTTGCCTTATCATTTAAATACCTTTATTCAAATCCCACAGGCTGTTTTCCCAAGTGGGAGACTTGCCACAACCATAAGACTCTTTCAAGCCAATGGAAATTACAGAGTTAAAACTCCAGGGATTCACACCGGGCTCGCACACAGCTTCCTGCTGCCCTGAAGCATTTGTCCAAGTGCTTAAAAAGGTGGTGGTGGGGGGGTGCAATAGAAAGTTGTCCAAAATCTATCTCAGGAAGCACCTAGTTCTGGGGGAGAACTCGGGTCTTGAGGTCTGGCTGCCTCACCCTGCCCGGGTCTACATTCTGTTCGCTTACCTTCTATCCTTGGAGAGCTCAGAATAACACCTGTCATGTTCCAAACTGATCTCTTAAATTATGAGGGATTGTGAGAAGGGGAGAGAACAGAATTCCCATTTGCCAAGACACAGGCACCAGCTGGGTGACCTAAAAACAACCACCTTTAAATCTTATTTTGGACTTTTGGCTTCAGTTGCCTCACAATGGAGTCAAATTTTACCCACATTTTCAGTGGGTCATTTTTATAAATGAAATATCAATACTTACCCAGCGAAAGCAAAAGAGAGGTAGATAGGCAGTTACTTTTTTAAAAAATCTACTACAGAATTCCATGGCCTCAGAAGCAAAGATCATCTCTGTTAAATTAAGATCAAATTGAGTTATAGATGTAAACTTTGAGCGACTGCTGTAAAATGAGAAAATGCAGGAAATGGTGATGACACTCTCCCCTTACTCTGAGTATTTGTCTGTAATTCAGAATGTGTTTCTGCTTGGAGCCCTGGTGTTAACGGGCTTCCTTAGCAGAGAGCAGAACAGCAGTTGGGTGTATGTTGTGAATGCATATTAACAGCACAGCATTTGCATCTCTGGAACTGTCGTAGAAAATGCAGAACAAAATTTCCTTTGAAAGATTACTGTACAAACACCGAATCCTGGCTAAATCTTGACATAACCACTTTCTGTCCTCTTTTTTGAGGAAGGAAAAACAACTCTAAGACGCCCAGACAATAGATGAATACTCAGAAAACCTCAACGCAGAGTCTATCTGCACCCTCCCCGCCCCCCCATCACCACCAGCACCGAAGGATTTTATTTCATGTGCAAAGGCAGAAATAGCCCCAAATGTTCTCATCCGAAACCGTTTCCCATGTGTCTGCTCATGGCAATGATAAAAGACAAAATCTCTTCCTGCGAGGAGCTCCACTGGCGATCGATTTCCACTGACACATCGTGATGTCCCTTCCTCAGGTTGTGAGGCTCCCGTCCCGGATGCCTGTCACACGGCGCAGCTTCCGGAGACTTCGCGAGTTTAGATAGAACACGGGGTGACATGCGACATTCATGACAGGGCCGTCTGCTCCGTGGCTGGCGGCTCTGATCCTTACGCCGCTTTGCCTTTACGAATTAAACCATACGTGAGAACAAACAAAATTCTGCACTTGGCCTTCCTATAGAAATTCTCCAGGCTGGCATGAAAAAGTGCGTGTCGTTTTGAAATCAAAACCCACATGAAACATACTCAGTGCGCCCATGACCACTACTATCCCCTCAAGCAACCCATTCTGAAACGCCTCGGTGTGTCCGATTTTTGAAAAACAGGGACTAGGCCACCCTACCTACTTTAAATTATGAATGTATGGCCTCGCCTGTATTTTCAGTCTGCATTTTTCACTAGACCATGGAGAGCAGACAATCACCTTCCTTGGCCTAGTGTGACCCTCCTTTTCGCCAACTTCTCCGTCCTCCCTGGGACTGGCCAGGCCAAGTCGTGGGGCCATGAGGGGCCCGGAAGGGAGTGGGGTTCGATGGGAGCAAAGGGGAATTTAGCTCCAGGTCCCCGGTGCCAGTTTGGAGCCAGAGTGCCTCAGAGCAGCAGAATTCTAACCCTTTGGAAGCCGGGCCGTGTGAGGGGAAATGCTAACACAGACTCAACAGTTACAGCTCTGCCAGGGCTGCTCTAATGCCTAAAGCACACTGTCTCACTTTAGACACAGGGATTACTCCCTTCTCAACCAACAAAGGGGGGGCGGGGGGCCTCTTTTCAAACTCTTATTTTTTAAAGTGCCCTTTTGACTTTACTGGCCGGCAATCCTGAAATAAAACGGCCTTTTTGGGGGGTTGGGGGGACTAGGGGTGTGTGGCCGGGGTTAGAGAAAAAGAGGGGAAGGTGGGGTTCGCCTCTGGCTTCACAGTTCATTTTATCCATAAAGCTTTGCCAGCTCTGCCGAGCTGTTTCTCCCCTGCTTTTGTTAAGAAATCAAAAGGGGGGCGTGGGGGGAAACAGATAAATATACAACAAATCTGACAGGGAAAAACGATTGGACACTAATAGAAGAATGACAGGATATTTCAATGGATGTTGGTCTAGAGAGACGATAACATGAGAAGCTTTTTAGCAGAAAGAAAAAAAAAAATCTGGAAGCTCCAAAAAACGGGACAGCGAATCTTTGATTAAAATACTCCGCAGAAAGCCAGGGAGGGAAAGACGAAAACCTCCGCGGTGGTTTTTATGGTTCTTGTGGCTGGGATGAACCGGGAAGGAGCGCGCCAAGTTAACCCGAGAGACGCGGGGGACGACAGAGGGGGAAGTTGCAAGTCCCCGCGGAGGACACCGGAGGCAGTTTGACAGCCGTGGCCGCGGGCTTGGAACTGCCTCTGTGTTCAGACACAGGCATGAAGAATCGCTCCGAAAAGTTGTCCAAAGGTACCTGCGAGTGCAGAAAGGGGGGCACGTGAGGATGTCTTTCACGGCCCCAGGCGCAGGGGGACACTGGTCTTTTCTTGCAGAGCCCTGAGCGGCACAGGGGTCCTGCCCGTGGGTCAGCGACGCGCAGGGCAAGTCACACGCCGTGAAACAAAACAGGGACGCGAGCCCTCTGCGGATCCCTCCCTGGCCGCTCACACAGATCTGACTTTGGTTTAAGTATCTCAAGACCAATGTTCCTGCTCTCAGCTCCTTTCCACGGCTCGCTTTCCCTGGGTACCCAGGTGCACAAATGGGGGGGGTGTGATCTTCGCAAAACATCAACAGCAGTGACCAAAAAAAAAAATAAAAAACTACCCCGTCGCTCGCACAAAAGCCCACCTTGTAAATGAATGGAATATTAACGACCGCCCCCCCGGTGCACCGTGGGCAGGGGCAAACGGAGCCCTGACACAGCTCTTCCCACAGGATGCCCGAGAAGCCGGAGCGGCTCGGGAGGAAGGCGCCCACTGCCTGGGAGAGGCGCGTGCAGATTTTTCCCCCTATCACTCTAACCTTCTGTGTTGATGCATGAACGCTGGTACCCACTTACAGGGATGCCAGATGATCAGTGCAGAATGAAGGTCCCAAGAGAGAGGATCACATGGTTCTCTCTGCCCTGTGACGTCACTAGCAGATGGCATGGGTACCAGCTCTGGCAGTTGGCATCAATGTCACTTTTTAGAGATCAATGAGATAGTGCAGATACACACAGACCTAGAGACTCCAGGAGACGATGCGACACTCAGCCTGAAAAGATCTGGAAGATCCAAAATGAAAACTGATTATTGAATGAAATTAAAACCTAAGGTAATATAAATAAAGATATTACTTCAATTGATACTGGCTTTGCATGCAAGTATTTAAAGATACAGTGTCACTGTCTTGTAGTGTTTCTATGCTCTTTGCCATCTATAACTTCTTACCAGATTTCATCCTTAGGATGCAATTATCACATACTTTCACTGCTACTGTGTAACACTGCAAGTATGTGGGCATTGCTAAGAGTTTGTGTCTGTGTGTGTATGTGTGTGTACAGATTGTTCACCTGCAAAGTCTCTGTTTTAACATGCTTATTTGTTTCAAGACTTGAGATGCAAATACTTGCTGCTTGACCAAACGAAAGCCACGATTGCATTGGAAACACAAATTCTTTTCCCCCTTTCATTTGGGATTCTGAACACACGTGCACAATTGCAGTCAGAATCCTTGGACCGCTCCTGTCAGATATTAGCTAGAGGGAGACTTCCGTGGCTCGTAGAACAAAAACACTACGCGAGTGTTTTGTGTCCAGGATAATTTGAACGGCAGTAAACAGACGATTATGTGCAGAAAGAATGTAAATGTAAAAGCAGGCTCAACGTTTTCTTGGATTTAAAAGAATGCCGGTGATTTTCATTTTTAAAAATATATTTAAGGAGTTTATTCCAAATTAGCCTAATCCTCCCCCACCCCCCTTTTTTTGTGTGAAGGCTGGGAAATAGTGTTGGCTCATATTTTTCTTTACTGATCAGAAAGAAATCGGTTTTAAAATGGGCGCTGATTAATTTTTGCTTAAATGTCTATATTACAACAGCCACTTATCTAAACCCACAGTTACATAACACAGCAAATAAAGTTAAGGCTTTTATAAAAATAAAAATAAAAAACCCACAAATCTGTCAGCAAATGGAGAGAGAGCACTTTTTATTTTAAAAACTGGTGTCTCCTCTCATCTTCTCCTCAGGGGAATTGGAACTAATGAAATTCTGCATTGCTATATCATGTTTTGCATTTGCTTAAATTCCACAGTCTTTTTTGTGTATTTAAAAACCAGTAAAAATTCAAAGAGAAATGGGGATGGTGGTGGGATTACTATAAATGCCTCGTTTTATTTTCTTTTGCTAATTTGCCTGTGTAAATTAACCCTATTGCATGTGTCAATGTTTGTTATAATTACTAGTCTGCCCAAACTCAAAAATGATATTTAATGTAAAAAAAAAAAAATTAGTTCCGGAATTAGTGTTTTTTCACCTGTTTTTGTATTTTTCTGATGAAGTCATTCAGTGTGTTGGAAGTGTATAAACTTTAAAAATGAAAGCACCTTAAAATCTTGCGCTGGCATCTATCTTTTCAGGTAATTTGAGATTAGAGAACCATGCTAACACTCCCGTTTGATGAGTCTGTTGTCATGCCCGAATCCCAGATGTGCAGAAAGTTTTCTAGAGAATGCGAGGACCAGAAGCAAATGAAGAAGCCGGACAGCTTTTCCAAACAGATTGTCCTTCGAGGAAAGAGCATCAAAAGGGCCCCCGGAGAAGAAACCGAGAGAGAGGAAGAAGAGGAAGACAGGGAAGAGGAAGGTGAAAACGGTCTGCCCAGGAGGAGGGGTCTTAGGAAAAAAAAGACGACCAAGCTGCGGCTGGAGAGGGTCAAGTTCAGGAGGCAGGAGGCCAACGCGAGGGAGCGGAACAGGATGCACGGCCTCAACGACGCGCTGGACAATTTGCGCAAGGTGGTCCCCTGTTACTCCAAAACCCAGAAACTGTCCAAAATAGAAACTCTACGACTGGCCAAAAACTACATCTGGGCGCTTTCGGAAATCCTAAGAATTGGCAAGAGACCCGATCTGCTCACCTTCGTCCAGAACTTGTGCAAAGGTCTTTCCCAGCCAACTACAAACTTGGTGGCAGGCTGCTTGCAGCTCAACGCCAGGAGCTTCCTGATGGGGCAGGGCGGGGAGGCTGCCCACCACGCCAGGGCGCCCTACTCCACCTTCTACCCACCCTACCACAGCCCTGAGCTCGCCACCCCCCCGGGGCACGGGACTCTCGAGAATTCCAAGTCCATGAAACCCTATAACTACTGCAGTGCGTATGAATCCTTCTATGAAAGCACTTCCCCTGAGTGTGCCAGCCCCCAGTTCGAAGGTCCCCTAAGTCCCCCCTCGATTAACTATAATGGCATATTCTCCCTGAAGCAAGAAGAAACCTTGGACTATGGCAAAAATTACAATTACGGCATGCATTACTGTGCAGTGCCACCCAGGGGTCCCCTTGGGCAGGGTGCCATGTTCAGGTTGCCCACCGACAGCCACTTCCCTTACGACCTGCATCTGCGCAGCCAGTCTCTCACCATGCAGGATGAATTAAATGCAGTTTTTCATAATTAATGAGGAAAATGAGAATAAAC